ACTTAAAATAAAATCTGACCTCTAAAACTGTGAAAAAAAAGATAAATATAGATAAAGACTTTCCGCAGGATTTCATGGTCGTCAGCTGTGCATCAGAATGAAGCTTCAGCTTCTTGAAGTGTGACGTGTCTCTCATCCAGACGTTCTCTCCTGTCGTCAGGTATCACGAGTGGATGAAGTCTCCCGAGCTGCAGCAGCTGACGGCCTCGGAGCCGCTGACCCTGGAGCAGGAGCACGCCATGCAGAGGAGCTGGAGGGAGGACGATGACAGTGAGGAGGCGTCTGTCTTTCGTGTGCATATAAAGAAAATAATTACAGCCTGACACCTTTCCCCTTTATTTTGTGTAAATTAGTGGACAATTTAACATAAATTTAAGCTTTGTCACGAACAGCTGAAGCTTCTTGTCGCCGCAATTTTAAAGTTTTGTGTTTTTGCTTCGAACCAAACTAAAATAGTTTTTAATCAGCTTTAAAAAAATCTTTAATCTTTTAACATAGAATTGTTCTTTAGACATTTGGCTGAAAGTTTCTGAAGGAAGAGCTGTTTTTATTATATTTGATTTAGTTTTTCTTCATTGTGCCAGAGTGCACATTCATCATCCTGGACAAGCAGCTGTGGACGGACCCCGACGTAGAGGAGGAGCAATGCATGGTGGGAGACGTCAACATCTTCCTGACTGACCCCACAGACCCGTCGCTGGCTGAGCTGGAGATCATGATTGCAGGTGAAGTGTAAATGTTGAAAATGAATCAAGACGAAGGATAAAATACTTGTTTTTTTACATGTCATCAGTTTTCCTGCATGTTTTATTTCAAAATTAATTTTGGCAACAAGTTTGTTGTTTTTCACCAGAGGCCAGTTACAGAGGGAGGGGCATCGGGAAGGAGGTGACGCGGATGATGATGAGCTACGGTGAGCAGCTTCAGAGGTTTTCTTAAAGCTCGACAACAACACAGATTAATAACATTACATATGTTGCTCACAGCCGAGACAGAAGGTCAAAGAGTTTATAAAGTTCTGACTCTGGTTTGAGTTCTGACTCAGTGACTGTGTGTTGTCTCCCACTAGGAGTCGCCAAACTCGGGGTGAAAAAGTTTCAAGCGAAAATCGGGCTCGACAACGAGGTCAGCGTCGGCATGTTCAAGAAACTTCACTTCCAGGAGGTAACGAGCTTCACGTGCTCCGGCTGTAAAGACGACCGCTCTGTCAGCGGATGTAAACACCGCGTGTGTTGCAGGTGTCGGTGTGTGAGGTGTTCAGAGAGGTGACCCTGGAGATGACGGTGGACGAGTCCGTTCGGACGAGGCTGCTGGACGACACGGCCTTCGTGAAGGAGAGGGACTACGCACAGACCTGCAGGGACAGACAGGTGGTCTCACAGTGAAAAGTTTCACTTCCTGTTGTGAAAAGGACAGAAAGACAGACATTTGGTCCAATCACATGCAGCAGAGTCCTCGATTTAATGATTGACTGTATAATGTATTTATCTGTAAAACTAGAATTCCTCAAACCCTGTGGGCTGGGACTTCTGCTGCATCGTTTACTTCAGGATATATTCTTCTTCTCCTCCTCTACCTGGAGTTACTAGTTGCACTGTGCCTGAACTTTACTGTCGAAATCCAGCAGAGAATTAGAAGCTGATCAAAATGTTCATGTCTTCGGTCATGTCTTTATTTTGCCTCTCAGGCGACATTCATACGAAAAAAAAAAAGACAAACTTCCAAATATTCATTGCTGTGCAAAAGCCATTTAATGACGTCGAAGCTGTACAAAGGCAGCAAAGATGTTTTCATTTCAAACGATTAGCAGCTGAAACTAAAAGAAAAGGGAAGTAAACCTGTCCGCTGTCGATAATTTATTCAGTTCAGATGATAAATAAAAATCCATCAAGATAATCCTCAACTCAGCAGATGATGTGACGTTAACCTCTGTAGCAGCTGCACTCTTAAAGGACCATACTGTGTTTGTACAAGTGATATCACTGTAAGAACTAAACAGGTGTAGTTTATTCTGCAGCTGAGATTTGACTGATGAGTTAATGCTGATGCATTAATGTGTTTTTCCAAACTTCTACGCTTCATTGTTGGACATCGAGAAGCGTTCAGTTCGATGGATAAAATAATTTTTTTTTTAGCTAAAGGCCCGGCACATGCAAAATGTAAATAAATTTGTTTGAGTGCAGTGGACATGAATTTCATCCAGCGTCGGACTGAGACCAGATTCTCAGGATCAACATCAAACATCACTCACGTGTGATTTTGTCACGTCGAGATAAAATCTGCTCAGTTTGCGCGACAGACACTGTAACTGTGACAGCAGCTGCTTTAACTGATGTTAGACTGTAAAGACAGCGGTGAGAGTGTGAGCTCTACATTCACACAGCCGCCACGCCTGACGCCCACTCTGACCGTCAGTGACCGAGTGGCTCCGGTGCAGCACAGACGGGGCCGCCTGACAGTTCAAAACATGCTGTAGTACAAAGAGGATACAAGCGCGACAACAATTCCATAGGAATTTAAGACGATTTTAATACATTTGTCCGTCCCCCTTTTTGTCTTTCTTTCTTCACCTCCCATCAACAGGGCGAGAAGATGCAGGGTTGCCCGTTTGAACGAGAATCATAATTTCAGCGTATTTAAAAAAAAAAAAAATCCCAGGATTCATAGGTGAGAGTGGAAAACCTGCAGGTCTCAGTTTTCATGTCGCTCTCAGGTTTTTAGTTCTTGGACGTTTGTGTGGATTCAAGAAACTCCTTCGCAGCAGTTGACAGATTTTGCACCAGTTGTCTGACCACGCCCTCCTGCTCTTTGGCCCAGGAGAGGCCGTCGTCCACGGCGACGTTGATCGGCGCGCACACGTCCTCCTTCTGCAGGTCGGTCAGCTGGCAGGCGGCGGCGACTCCGGCCAATCCCAGCAGCAGCAGGAGGAGGAGTTTGAACAAGAGGCCAACGAAAGAGCGTCGAGGTTTAGGAGCCGACTCCACAGCAACCTTTTTATCTGCTGAGATAAAACAAGCGTGACGTTAAACTCTCAGATTTGTGGTGACTGATTAGTACAAAAGCCCTGGGATCATCGAGAGTTCAAGAAAGATGCAAAACACCAAGTTGTCTTTGTGAGAAATTATAAAAATACATCTTTGCTCATTCAGGACTTCGGCAAATTCATCAAGTGAAAATGAAAATGGTTTAGAACTCCACATAAAGTGAAACTAACAGAACCATGATTAAACCTTGAAGAATCAGTTCCACGGAAACACTGATGATAAAACATTCACAGTCGGAATGTGGTGAATTCAAAGTCTAGACTCGTCTGTCCTCCTCACCTGCTGCCTGTCCGTTCTTTTTCTTCTTCTCCTCGCTCTTCTTCTTCTGTTGTTCCTGTGCAGCTACGGCCGCCATCTGAGCGTTGTACTCTTTCCTCCTCTTCTCCTTCTCCTCCGCCTTCTCTCGTTTACGCGCCTCCTTCTCCTTGGCCTCCCGCTCCCTCTGCTTCACCTCCCGCTTCCTCTCCAGCTCTGATTGGAGGATGAAGAAAAATAAGACACATGACTGTCACCTGTTCTCACAAGAAGATACTCGCGTGTTTCCTGCCGTGAATGAAATGTACGTCAGTCAGAGACATAAAATAAAATTTGTCTTGAAATAGTTTCGAAGCTCAGATTTCCTGGTACCGACCTTTCTCCCTCAAAAGACGTTTCTCTCGAGCACGATCGACCTCGTCCTGAATCTCTCTCATGTGCTGCAGAACCTGAAGAAAAAAATACAAGAAAAACCGACTTTTAGTTTTAAATCCTAACGTGTGAACCGACTGATCACTGTCTATTTGTCCGTCACCTTGGAGGAACACTGTTTGCACTGTTTCTCGTCCAGACAGTCTCCTGCTGCCTTGGCCAGGCCGGCCTCCAGAGGGTTGTCCTTCAGATCCAACCACCTCAAACTCTGGAGAACAAAAGTTAAATAAACTGGCACTTCACACTTCATCGTATTGAAGACAGACAATCATCAACACTAGTTCATGTTTATCACCATTAGAGACGCAGTTTTTCATAAAGTCGGATGAACTGCAGCGTTGCATTAATGCACTGATATGAGAGTGATATCGATCTCATATCAGAACTGTCCAAATAAACCTCTGGGCTCTCACCCTGAGCTGGGAGAAGCTGACGGGCAGAGCGGTCAACTTGTTGTTGTACAGATCCAGATGTTGAAGGTTGACCAGGTTCCCCAGGTCGTCTGGCAAACAGGTCAGCTGGTTTTTACTCAGATCCACCTTGACGAGGTGGGTCAGGTTGCAGAACTCTGGCTGCACGGAAAAAAAAGAGACCGAGCCGAAGAGAAATGAACGTCAGAGACAACGTCGTAAAATCGTAAAAAGAGTGAAAGATGCTCAGCTTCTCAACAGAAAGATTAGGAGACTTAAAGAAACTGACTTAAACTCACATTTAATCTCAATTTAACGAAAGAAAAACCATTAAACAACCTGACTTTACTTCTTTAAAGCTAAAAACACATGAAAATATAAAATGGTGGGTGCCGGGTGTGTAAGGTTGTGTTCACACTCACAGGGAGGGAGGTGATGTTGTTGCAGGACAAGTCCACGACAGTCACTTTGGGGAACAAAGCCTGCAGAGATGAATTCAAACAACAGTCAGGTACTCTCCATGATCATGACGATACAACATCTCAATTCTGCTTCAGCAACAGCTCACACGGTGAAAACACCACGAACACGTGTGATTTCATTTCCTCAACATTCTCTCTGGTTGATCGTTGCATGAACTCATTCACTTCACTGCTCCATCACTTAGTGGAGGAACAACATGCGACGTGCCGGAACGAAGTACTTAAACCTCGGCGTGTGACTGTACTGCAGTACTGCTCTCCTCCAGCGTGTATCTGCGAAGTACTCGAACACACCGACACTCACCAGCTCTCGGACCGGGACCTCGGTGAGGTTGCACAGGCTCAGGTCCGCCTCGTTCCCGCTGACTTTGTCCCTCAGGTTCAACACTCGGCTGCTTTTGCTCATCCTGCAGTTTGACAGGAGGAGACACGTCAGGGGGACAGACAGGGACACCGGGGGACAACTTGTAACACCGGGGGGGGGGGTCCGTCCCGTCTGGCTCACCTGGTTCTGAAGCCGACACACGTCCGAGCCCCGCGGAGGAGAGAAGGAGGAGGGAGGAGGTGGAAGGAGCAGCTTCTGGAAATGAAGAAAGTTTGAGGAGCAGCGGAACCGAGTGATTCTGTCTCAATGGAGATACACGTCACTGCTCCTGCCACTCGCAGGAGGCCCAGCGGACAACAGCGCCCCCTGCAGCCCCGGAGGAAAACACCACACATCGGCGGGACCGATACTCCCCGAACGATTTTTTTACAGATACCGATATTTTCTTAAATTGGTTTGTGATTTATTTATTTATTTTTCAAAATAATGATCATTCTAACAGGCTTCAAAAGGTTTATTCCACTTTAAATCACGTGACACACACCAGCCATTAGTTACACACTTATTGTAAAAGCCTTACATTAAATAAAAATGTGCAAATAAGAATGTTTATTATCAAATGAAGTAATGTTCAGATAAATAAATAATACATACAATTCAAATTCACACATAAAAATGTAGCCTCTGCAAATTAAAACTTCTTTTTAAGATTTCCTTAAAGGGATAGTTCACCCAAAAAAAAAAGAAAGAAAACTCCCTTATTATCTAATCACCACTATGCCGATGGAGCTGGTGGGTGAAGAGTCCACAAAACACTTTTGGAGTTTCAGGAGTAAACAGCGTCGCAGCCGAATCCAATACAATCGAAGTAAATGGCGACCACGTTTTGAAAAGTAAAAAAAACAAGAGAATAAAAATATGAAAGTCCTTCATTCTGCTCCTGTGGTGTCATCCAAGTGTCTGGAAGTCCTGACATTCAGATTTGACTCATTTGTCTTCCCCTCTTCATTCTTTTGCAGTATTTATAATGCATCTATACATCGGCTCTATAATAATAAAACACATGTAAATATTCCTCTCACTTAAAGGTAATACTTTAATGTGAATTAAATGCAATGCACACAGATACAGTGTATATCTACGAGGGTAACATACATTTTGCTGACACGCACATGCTTCATTTTTAATAATATACGTATTAATAGATTCCTGAACTACTTTATTTATAACGTAGCTAATAAATGAGTCCAATCAATACCAGTCATTACAGGAGGATAATGATCTGTACAGCCCACGAGGCTGCATCAGAAACTATGACTCAGACATGCGTAGTGATTTCATTAGTCACTGTTCATTCCTCATAGTTCCAATTGAAGAACATATAGAATAAAAACAGTGCAGTAGCTATGAGGTAGAAAATGCAGAAAGCCTTGTTGATTCTTTGAGCCACTCTGGTCCAGTATCCAGGGGTCTGTTCTTCTTCTCTGCTCTTCAGGAGCAGAGTCAAAGCTTTTATCTCTTCCCACAGCTTTTCTGAGGCGTGACGCTCCTCCATCTGTCGGCCGCTTATATTCTGAAAATCAATTTACACAATTTACAGTAGACTGAGGTTAACAATTAAACCTTTCAGAGGCACCAGCAGCATCTGATATTCATAGTTCCATCCAGACATTACTGCACAACATCGGTACTTTTCATGATTTAAAAAAAAAAACAAAACGTGCAACTTAACTCTAACCTCTGTAGAACCATGAAGTTCTGTTGCCTTTGTACCAGGAGACCCGACTCGGCCTGAGTACGACTGTTTAGTTGAATCTGAAAAGATGCATCAAAGACAAAACATTCAGAATAACACAGTCCATCAGTGTCCACGTCAAATTCAAATCCTAATAACGAAAAAGATCAATAGAGTAACTTCTGTGCTGCTTCAAAAGTCGACCAGACACGTTTTGTTTCATAGAAACAATTTTCCATCAGTGGTGGATATAGTAGAGTGCATTTACTTAGTTATAATACTTTTATTTTTCATGTATTGTACTTAGTTTTAGGTACTTTTTAATTTTAATCCACGTCTCTACTCGTACTTTCTACTGTACTTTCTGTGACAGGACGTGAATTGGTTGACTGATCCAATCAGAGCGAGCAGGTACTTAATTACTTTTACTCAAGTAGAAAAGTTAATGTGGTACTTCACTAATTCTATACTCTATATGCATATATATATTTATATTATGACAATTCTCACCTCCCTCACAATTACACGAGATGGATTTACCTCGTTTGTCTTCCCTCAGGCTTCTGTCTGGTGCCGAGTCTTTCTGGATCAGATACATCACTACAACCGTCTCCAGGAGGCTGAGCATCATCAGAGTAAAAACCCCGATGCAGTAAACGGCTGAAGAGAGAGGGCCGCATCATTAATGCACATACATAACCACATTGATCCAGTATATAAGCTCTTACTGTTATGAGCTGGAGATTCTGAGCTTCTTTACCGATCAGTGGAATCCTGTTTGACGATGACGGCAGAATTTCATTCAGAATGAGCTGCATGACAGTGACGGCGAGCAGCACGGTGACCTTGAAGCTCAGCTTCTCGCCGCCGCTGTCCGAGATCATGAAGGAGGACAAGTCCAGACAGAGTAAGAACAGGATGGGCATGATGAAGTTGACGATGTAGAGGGCCGACCTCCTCTTCATGTTGATCTGTTGAATTACGTTCTCAGTTCAGCTGATTGACCCACGACGTTTGAAGAAAGAGAGAATTTCACTTACTGTGTAAATGACCATGGTTTGGTTGAAGCTGTAATGGTTCTCTGTTTTGCTGGAGACTGTGATGTTGATGAACAACCACTCAGACTGGATCCTCATCACCTCTCGAGAGTCCTCAGTGATCTGTGAGGAGTTCAGGTAACGGACCAGTTTGATTTCCTCGTCTCGAGTGGGAGAAAAAAAAAGATATTTATTAGGTTGGTATGAAAAAGACGTGGCTGCCTGTAGTGTAGGTCGTACATTTCCTCCATGTTAGTGGATGGGACAAAATAAAAAAGTCTCGAAGATGTGTGATTTGTGTCATTTTACCTAAAAAGACACCAATGTATGTTCACATGTTGGTAAGTTTGGTGTTAGTGAGATTTTTGATGTTATAAAAATGGGGGATCATGATTGACAGCTGAGACTGTCACTCACCAGAGTGAGTGAACGACTTGAAGGTGAGTTTGCAGCTCTGAGTGTCGAAGGGGAACTTGTAAACTTGCATCCTGCAGGTGCTGGTCAGCACCTGATCATTCACCATCTCCACGTTACCTCGACTGGTAATGGTGAGATAAGGACTGGGAGGGGCCTTGTCCCTCTCTGTCCTGAACACAAACACCCACAGCGTCTCAATACAAGTGAAAGTATAGTGTGTACTTTGACCTGTGTACTGTTTACTGTGTTTACTGCAACATTCCTTTCACCTCTTAATCCCTCTACTCTTTTGGATTTCTAGTATGAACCTTACACTTCAAATCACTGATTCACCTTCAGTCAGTCTATTAATTAATCAAACTTTATTTGTACAGCACTTTAAAAAAAGTAAATAAAAGAAATAGAAGATAATAAAATGGGATAAAAACACGTACTAATAATATTAATGGACGTAAAACATGAATAGAATATAGCTGCAATAAAATCAATAAATGATATTTAATCAAAGGTTAGTTAGTCATTGGGGATCATGAGAGCGTTAAAACTTACATCTCCACAATCGTGACATCTGGCTTCCACATCAGTTCATTAGGAATAGTCAAATAATTAATACCACAAAACTCATCAGGATCCCAACTGATGAAGTCATTTTGCCACCACTGCAGAAGAAAGCAAGAGAAAAAAAAGAATGAATCCAGACAGAAACAACATCAGATTTCCAGCAGAATGAGAGAAGGAATTCACGAAGCCAAGAAGAGAGAACTCACCATGGTGATCCAAACGTAAGGGACGAATTTCTGCTGCTTCTCATGCTACGAGGGGAAAAACCACTCGAGTGAAAATCTTCATCTGAACAAACTGAGCACCACAGTCACACGCTGAGTGAACTGCAGTGTGTTGATTCTGAGGTGAAACATACTATACTCAAGAAAAACTAAAGAAGTAATGATATTACAAATATAAAGCTGCAGTTCAATGAGATTAAAAAAAGTGATAAAAGTTTACGAATAAAGTCAAAAACCGATGAAATTTGAAGAATAAAGTTGTGATTTGGGGAAAGTCAGGATATTATGACTTCATTCTCTTTTCTCCAGACAAATGGAGCCAAAAACATTACATCCTTATCAATTAATAAAACATAAACCTAATTTGAAAGCTCTGGCTTCCTACCCACAGGCAGGATGATGCTAATGTGAGGCGAATAGATAACGCTCATGAACGGCCCCCAGATACACTGTGATTCTGTGACAGACAAGTTATCACAAACGATCACTCACCACTTCCAGAATGGCATAGAGCAGCAAATCCAGGTTCACCTCTGTGGGTGTTCTGTGGTTTTTAACAGGTCGGTTCGTGTAGAACCAGCTGGACGTCGATCTGAGGTTCAAGTGATCTAAAACCTCTTGATAACTGCAGTTCCGCTCGGAGGACGCTCCGTCTGGAAACAACACATATTGGCCGTCAGACCTAATAGTACCCCACGCCCAGTTACAGAGGCGTTCTGTCATTTTTCTCTCAATTTCCTGTTGCTTAAAAAAATCAATGAGCTGCAATCGAGCCCTAAGAGCTTTACGCTAAAAGTCACATTTACCCACACTTACATACAGAGCTTCTCCATTATTCATCAAACTGTCAAGGCCTTAACTGCTAATTCTGCTCGAACCGCTGACCTTCCGTTCAGGGTGTGACCCGCTTCACCTCCTGAGCCACAGAACGCAGCCGCCCTTAAAGAACAAGCTTCAGTGTTGTATGTTTCATCTGTCGCTCGTTTTAAATGGTGCCTATATAGAAATCATTGGGTCCCAGACAAAGAACTCTGAGTACTTTGGGGGATCCTCTGACTTTTTCCTGTCGCGCCACCATGAGGTTTGTGGTTCTGAATGAAATATCGTTTAATCGAGTGCTAACGAGCCTGATAACAAGCTTCATCAACTTAATGTCCAGTAAACATCAGCACGTCAGCAGCAGGATGACCAGAGTCGCAGTAAGTGCATCTCTACAGACCTCTAAGCATAGTCTTGATTTGACGTCATTAAATATTCATATTCAACCACCAACTCTAACCCATACGTTTGCAGTTACATATAGTTTTTGTGGTGACGTGGATCCATCATTGGACGGATTACTGCATTTAAATCGTATTAAATTCTACATTTTTGGTACGTCCACTTCACCGGACACAGACTAATTCCTGCTGATCAAAGCAGTTTCCTCTTTTATCTCCAACTGTTTTGTATTTAACTCAATCAGCAGCTTCAAGTGGCGGCTGTGAAGATTCAGCCTTCAACCCGACTTTATTCTGATTTCAAATTAATCCCTTCCCCGGTTCACATGTATTTAAACTGTGTGAGGAAGCCCAAAGAGAACCCACGCAGACCCGCTCATAAATAATTTAGTTAAATACTTTTTTGGACAATACAAAGCACGAGGGGGAGCAAACCAAAGAGCCAGACAATTCAGTTATTCAGTCATTGGAGCTGGATCTCTTTAGTGTCACTCACGACAGGAAGTGTTTGAAAATGAAACAGCAGCATCTTCACATTAGTCTCGATTGACCACAGACGTGAAGAGAGCAGTTGGAATTAAAAGCTGCTCACAGTGCGGCCTGCGGATAATAAGGATAATGTGGATTGTCGGCATCAACACGGTGACCAGGAGGGAGAACTCACCTGAGAGGAGGAGCAGGAAGAAGACGCCAACGAGCATCACTGGGTTCAGGAGCATCAGAGTGTGTGAGACGTGTGTGCAGCCAACGATGGAGTCAAACTGACGAGATGTGTGAACTCACACTGATGGAACATTGGAAGGAGGCGGAGCAAAGTGACTGACCATCCCTCTCTCACACACACACACACAGTAATGTGTCGGGCCGTTCTATAATGATGGATTACATGACTGCCCCCCTAAAATGAAGCCAAAGCCTCTCAATCGCCCCCTGGTGGCTGGTTGTAGAATGAACCCCGCCTCCTGCCTGTTAGTGGTTATGTTTTCATCAGTGCTTGTTTGTTTCTGTTCGCTAATAACCAGGAGGACGCTCAAGACAAAGACCACGAACCTCGGTGGAGGAGGAAGAACGTATCCAGATCAGGGGGTTAGATCCAGGAATATTTTCACTTCATTTAATATTATGAGAATCACCATTAATGGGGAATAATAAAGGAGATGAAAAGAATCCGACATGTTGAGGGGACTGACATCTGTGGACTGTTGGGTCTTTAGCGGAGGCACGCACTTATTACAAAGTCTGTTACATGACAGGACTTTTATTCAATGTAAGCAAAGACATGAAGACGATTATTCGGAGATGCAGACAACAGACGACGAGGAGAGACACATGTCTTACGATGATGCTTAAACCTGGGGGGGTGTATGATGCAAATCTGTTTACACTGACATGCTTCATTTTTAATAATATGTACATGTTACATTTCAAATATATAAATCTACTGCTCAATGGTAGAATATGACTTAGACTGCAACCAGAACTGGATGTGCAGCATTCATTACATAGGCATCATTATGCAGCGTTAGAGTTAATGTTCTCCGTTCCAGTGGAAGAACATACAGATTAAAAACAGAGTGGCAGCTGTGACATAGAAAACAAAGAAGACTTTGTTGATGGTTCTAGTTTTTCTGGTCCAGTAGCCGGGTTTTCCTTCCTCCTTCCTGTTGAGGAACAGAGTCAGTGTTTTCAGCGCCTCCCTCAGATCACCGGCGAGCTTCTCAAAGCTCTCGGACTCGTCCGTCATATCTTCGTCATGTTCTTTGACTTTATAGTTTGGTCCATGTTCCATCTGCTAACATGGAGGAGACAGGGTTTGTGTTGTCATGTCTTTTTTTTTTACAGTGTTGGAGGTTGTAGTATCGTGTGTTCATGTATATGTATAATGTGTAACGTGAAGCGAACCTTCAGCCGTTCAGCTGGATCTTCATCAGCAGAAACATGACTCACACACACACACAGATTCCATGTCTTCTCCTCTGGAACGACACATCACATACAAAGAAGTTAGCTTTACGAGCATTTGTAATTAACTTGAACGAAACTGAAAAACTCCACAAGATTCACCAAATTACAAACACTCACAGAAATCAGTTTCCTAAATGCAACTGAACCTTTACTCGCTGCAGCTTCATCTCATTTTCTTTATTCTTTATTGTTGCTCTCTAGTTCCCTGTTTATATTTTGCATGTTTTGTTGCACTTTGACCTGCGACGAACATTTTTACTAATGAGAGGAAATCCTGATGATTCTCTTTTTGTGTGTGTGGCCGGGGGGGGGGGGCGTGGCTTCTCCTGCAGCAGAACGACGCACACCTTCCTCCACTCAGCTCATCAACCTGCCTATAAAAGCCGGGTCTTCACTCCGCCATCTTGTTCTGAGCTGCATTCTTGTTCTCTGCGACCGCTCGGTGTGTTTGAGCCTTACCTGTGTTTTTTTTTCTCTGTTTGCTCATTTAACTCTGTGTCACTTGTGCTTTTGCTGCTCGCCTGCGTTTGTGTCTTCACTGCAAAGTTTTTTCCATGTGCTCTGCTCTCGTTCCGTCCCTCTTTATGTTTCGACTGCCTGTGTCAGTCTCCGCTCTGGGGTTCACACAAAACTTAAACATACCAGGAATGATAATAAAATGACCAGTTACTGCAGAGCTGTGAGCTGCAGCTGTGCTTCGCTGTGTCTCAGGGCTGAAAACATGAATTCAACCTACTTTCTTTTTACGGTGACTTTAGTGGAGACACCATCGGTGCAGATATCCAAGCCTTTCATGAATCTCACCTCCTTCACAGTTGTGGAAGTTGACTTCTCCTTGTTTGTTCTCCTTCAGGCATCGGCCTTCTTCCCCTTTGTCCTCTTGTGGTGCTGAGTCTTTCTGGATCAGATACATCACCACAATCGTCTCCAGGAGGCTGAGCATCATCAGACCAAAAACCCCGATGCAGTAAAGAGCTGAAGAGAGAGAGCAGCGTCATTAATGCAGATGAATAACTTCACACTGATTCCGCACATGTGCAGCTCAGATGAAGCTCAGTCTGCAACAGGGATGTGAATGTCAGTGTGTCCACGACAAGTACAAGGAAGGTTTCTTCCCAATAAAGTTGTATTAACTTTAGTGGTTGCAACTTTTCACAGAGGCAGATGTTGAGGTGGAGGAACTGGCCCCAGCTGAAATCTGATCTGAGACCTGAAGTACCCCTGTCCTGTCTTTTTTTTAATACACAAGTTACCGAACTAAACCATACGACTACTTTTTCAAAGAACACAATCTCTCTCCTTGCAAAACCGAAGACATTCCCCGCAGCTCTACCTATGAGCGGGATCCTGTTGGACGAGGCCGGCAGGATATCATTCAGGATGAGCTGCAGCACGGTGACGGCGAGAAGCACGGTGATCTTGAAGCTCAGCTTCTCGCCGCCGTGCTCTGAGATCAGGAAAGAGGACAAGTCCAGACACAAGAAGAAGAGGACAGGCAGCAGGAAGTTGACGATGTAGAGGATGGACCTCCTCTTCATGTTGATCTGTCAAATGATATTCAGGCATCGGTTAGTTGATCTTCCAGCTGACGTGACATTTTTATTATGTTGATTGGAAACTATTCATTTCTAGTTGTGGTGATTTGTGACGTTTGGATTCTGCACTTGTGTCGGTGATGCGTTTGGGTCCTACTCTCTGAAATTGTAATGTTTTTACAAAAGAAGATCAAGACGCTGTGTAACATTTCAACTAAGACTGAAAGGACAGAAAGGGACAAAAAGACAAAGCAGAGAAAGAAAGTGCAGCTCATATAAAGTGGAGATTCTCTGGTGACATCATTTGTCCTCCAGCACAACACGACTTCACTGTTGTGTGGAGTCTCAGGTGCATCGGATCATCTGGCTGACTAATGGATGTGCCAGCAGCAAAATTCACTCCTATAAATATTGTGGCCTGAAACAAACCGCAGCTACTCACAGTGTAAATGACGACGTCTTGGTCGAAGCCAAACGATGTGACAGTTTGACTGGTGACCTTCATGTTGACGAACAGCCACTCGTACTGCGTCCGCATCAACTCTCTGGATTCCTCTGTGGCCTCTTTGGAGCTGGAGTTTTGAAAAAGGTGGATTTCCGCAACTGAGGTGGAAGACGAAGAAAAACAACAATAAAACTGTGACGTTAACAGGTTGAGGAAGAAAAGATGTGATATAGGCAGTGGTGAGAGAAGTACGCAAATATTGCTTTACAATATAATTATAGATTGTAGATTGTTTCCTAATGCAACAGTCTATTAAGTGAATAGATCAGAGGATGCCAGTGAAAATACTATAACATCAGTTCATGGATAAGTGCCTCTTAGAGCTCATGATAAATACAGATATTTACCCAAACATAAGTACAGAAATGGAAAATATTGTAATTAAGTAAATGTATTTTGTTACAACCCACATATTGTAAGTGGTAATCTGGTGGTGTGTGTGTGTGTGTGGCTCACCAGAGTGAATGATGGTTTTGATGGAGAGGTTGCAGCTCTGAGTGTCGAAGGGGAATTTGTACACGTGCATCCTGCAGGTGCTCACCAGCACCAGGTCGTTCTGCATCTTGACGACACCGTCACTCTTGATGATGATGTAAGGACTCGGAGGGGCTCGATCCTTTTCTGTCCTGTATGATGTATGAACACACGTTATAATGAGCAGCAGCACTGATACAAGGAGCATCGAATTAACAAGCAACCTCAAGGATCAGTTTGATAACAAGTCCAAGTCCAGTCACGGTCTCAGCATGAAAACAATCTTCCACTTACATCTCTTCAATGGTGAGATCCGGTTTCCATAACATTTCAGTGGGAATAGAAATACTTTCAATCCCACAGAAGTCAGCGGGATCCCATGAAATGTGATGATTCTCCCACGACTACACAGGAAAAACAGCAAAGTCAAGAATGAATAGAAGATAGTGGGGGGGGGGGATAAATAAGAAAAGAAAACTCACCAAAAACATCCAGACGTACGGAATGAAGGTCTGGTCAGTTTCTCTCTGTGAAGCAAACAAACATGTGTGAAGCAGCGAGATGATCTTTCATCCTGTTCAGTGCAAAGACAAACACTCACCACGTCCAGGATGGCGTAGAGCAGAATGTCCAGGGAGACGTTGGTGGACTGTCTGTAGTCTCTGACCGGCCGGGCCATGGTGAACAGCTCATTGTTTCTGGTTAAGTTCAGGTGGTTTAAAACATCCTGGTAACTGCACAGCTTCTCTGAGGACGCCACGTCCGCGGCTGCAAAACAGTGAGACGGAAACATTCAGCGTGAGAGAAACATGTTTCATCCACTGCCTCATAGTTGGTTGTTGTATTTTAATGTTTATTTGTGTAGAAGCCTGGATCACAGCTGAATACACTGTAATATGCAACCGCACAGTTTGAGTAAAGAGCAAATCCAAGCACAAGCAGGGGCTTTCTGGGAAATCAACACAAAATCTGAACGTGGGATTAATAAATCAGGCTCTTTAGTAAAGTGGGGCGGGGGAGATATGTCATTTGCAGTTTCTCTACATGTATGGGCCTTTAAAATACATAAAAATACCACAAATATATATGAAACAACAGAAAATAAGAACATCTTGCAGTAATACAATAATAATTAACAATGCAAGTACAATAAATATGATGAAATCTGTGTCAGCTCACGTTTCAACGATGCATTTCGAGTTTTGTTGGTTAATATTCCGGTCAGAGAAGAGGATTATGAATCTTCTATCAATCTTTGGATATTGGTCCATATAATAATCACCAGCTCGCTATAATAACATCCAGAGCTTGTGGTCAGAGATGGATGTTGGTGACGGGAGGAGAGGCAGCTGACCACAGAACGATTTTCATCTGGGTCTAAATAACTTCTCCATTTCAGATCCATCTGTTATACACCAACTAATGCGTGTTGATAGAATCAGGACAAAGCTGCACTCAGTCTGAAAAACCGGATTCAGAGAAGCACTCGCAGACTTTTAATTTAATATGAGACAGATATGTTGTGTGATCCACTTTCAAAAACTGCAATAGAAAATAAAAACTATTTGAAAAAAGAGGTCGTCCAGATTTATTTAGTCTGAAAAACACTGGAGGCAGATTAACGTTATTTTGCAGAAATCAGA